TAACTCCGATTCAATAACAGGTTCGTCAACTCTTTTCAAGAATCTGAGTAGAAAATTTTGATCTTGCAGCTTTAATCTATACATATCAGCATTAGCAACCATACAGACTGTATCATCTCCCCTGATCATAGTTACTACAGAATAATCAATCAAAGCAAAAGCTTTTCTACTCATAGCCTTCAACTCCTTTATTGGGCTCCAATTGTGCAACCTTCATTCTTACTAAACTGAGCTAGAAACTCTACATCATCAAATATTCCTCTAGCGATGATCTATCAATTTCACGCTCCAATAATACACATTAATCTTCATCATTATCTATGTAAAGATGATTATAGGACTCCTCTGGAAATACATCAACTACAATGATCTCGTCTGGTTCTTTAATCAAAAGTTCCTTGTTGTAGATAATCATATATGAATTATGCACTAGTAAATCTGTACATGTATTTCTAGACAAATAATGATCTATATTCACATCATCAGCTACATCTGAGATCACATCTTCCATATTTTTATCAAGCAAATCATCAAAGTCAAGCTTTCTTCTAACCTCAAAGAATACCTCTTCATCATTTCCAGCTTCGTTTAGTTTCTTGGTATCATCCATTTTCTCTTCGTCAAAATGAACATCAACCATGATCAGATGATCACTTAGCTTCTTAGTTTCATCAAATCCACCAGCAAAGATCTTCATCATATTTCTTTTCAGATTCAACAACAATATTAATATTAAAATCAACAGCCTCAGCTCTAAGGGCTTTTAGAGATTGAGTTTTGATGGAACATGTGATTGAGTTTTGGTCGTTATTTCCTTAATAGAAAGATGAATCTTTGCCGTAATTACCAAAAGTCTGAAACTCAAACATGTGAACCATTGTTGGTGGTAACTCAGATGCAATAAATGTATCTGTTAATATATTTGTAGAACAAATCTTTGATTCAACACATGCATCTATATAAGAAGATCTTGGGATGTTCACTTCACCAGGGCTTCTGGTCAATCTTTGAATGCTTGTAGAAGCCCTATGACTGTAGTTGCAGCATGACACACATGATATGTTGTGAAGTCACTAAGAATTGTGTTAGTGTACAATGAGTCAATATTTTATACTGTTAAAGGCTCAAATGGTGTTTCCTGTCTGAATTAGACAGGAGTTGACACCAACTCTATGTGCTCATGAATAGAAGTTTGAGGATGGGGCAGACTATCCTCTTTGTTCAATGTCCATAACCTCCAAATAAGGAATGGATAGATTATGTGCTGCTTTCCCATGTGAAAATGAAACAATAATCTGTTGAGAGATTGGTGAGTTGTTTGGTGAGGTCATTGCAAGTGTCAGATGGGCTCACTCACTTTTTTCAATATTGACCACCAAAGAGTGTGATTTAATAGCAGTTGTGGCTGCCCAACTAGAAATGACTAGTGTAGATCTCAATTCTGTTTCACCCTCATTTCTTTTATCCCTATCTCCTCACCCTCATTCAATTATGTTTCAATATTCTCACCACCCGAACTCTTATTTACACTTTTCCTCTCCAACTCGTGAGGTTGCTCACCCAATTGAGCTTCTTCCCCCACTCTATTATTTTCTGACCCCTCACGAAGGTTGAGCTTCTTGGGTAGGGTCAACCGGTCCTGGAAGACCCATATAAGTTATATGCTCTCAAAACCTTGTTTGTGAATGGAATGTAATCAGGGCCTGTGAAGGTACCTTATGTCTTCGGAATTGTGATAGAGGTGTAGACAGCCTCAATAAGTCCATAATAAAGTGTGGGGCTACTGCTTCTCCTTCACTTCTATCAATTTATTCTACTCGCAGCAAGGCAGTCTTCACTATTATTTGCCAAAATCTATGATAAGGAATGTGAGTCTAGTCCTTCTCTGAGTAAGATTTGATGTCCTCCCAAATCAAGAATGCAAAATCACAGTGCTTCTTGTTAAATACTCGGAAAATTCTAAGCACCCTCAATTTCAAAATGATCACGACCTCCAACCATTTTGTTCTTCCAATTTCAATCAATTTTTACACAAATCAATTCAAGAACACCAAGTTCAACAATGGTAGAATATGAGTAGAGAGAGAGTTCTTCAAAGGTTTTGTATTAAAGTGATTACAAATGAGAATGAAAGTACATACAAAATTACAAAGCACCTACATTATTCATACTACGAAAATGTAATGACAATACAAGAACAATAACAAGCTTGAATACAACATTTAAGCACCAATCTTGAACTCAACATTCCCCCCCACCCTTTGGATTCAAGCTTTTGAAATAGAAAATATCGATCTTCTGAACCCAAGGTGAGTTTCAAATCTTCTTATGGCATTCCGATATGCAATCTTTTCATCAAATAACTCCAGTAGTGCTTTAAGAAGCAAGAACCTTTCTCTTAAATTCAGCTTTGTCAGACCCTGAAGCTTTATCATCCTATACCTTCCTTGATTCTAATGTCTTCTGATCAGCTTGATCATTCCGTCACTGTACTTTTCAAGCTCATAGAATCTTAAAAACGTTTTAGCACCCTCGGAATTTTCATACGCCACTCCAAACTTTGGATCTTCAAGGATCATGAATAGAGGATAACCATTAGTGTCTTCAAGTTTCTGATAGGGCTTCAGCATATTAACTTTCTTCTGATTGCTCTCATAACCCATTTGAACATCGATTAATGAAGACAACTTGCTTTGATTCTTCAGGAATCTCTTAATGGTTTCCAAAGCTCTGACAGCTCCTTCAAATCTGACAGTTCGGTTTCTCAGTTCGTGGTACATGAACACCATGTCTTCTAGATACAAATTTGGAAAATCAGCTTCGCTAAAGTACCATCTTGTCGAAGAACATAAAAGATAGGATACGATACTCTTACAACTTTTTTGGCTTCTATCTTTTTGATCGAGACAATTCGGTGTTTTGTCCTTACAAAGTGAATGGGTTGACATTTAGCATTTATGAGATATTTGTATTCTTGTTTGTTTGCAGGGATTTCTTTTCGAATGCCCAAGACTTTCTCTAAGCTCAGATCTCTCAAAGAATGGACAAAAGTATCTCTGTATAAGGCTTCAAGAAAAGGTTCCCTTATCCTTGTTATATTCCATACTGGAGCTACCACCTTTTCTGTAATCAGAATATACCTTCTCGAAGATGAAACATTTTCAGCACGAGGCGGAGAAGTTGAAGATAGAATACTTGGTGGTTATGCAACAAATGGTTCTGGTTCTTCTTTAGGCTCGATCGAGAAAGGAAAGCTTGGTTGATCATCAGATCATCTGACCCAACATTTTCTGCTTCAAATTCTACATTTTCTATCCCATTTTTCAGGTAAACACAATAATTGTCTGAAAATATCCAAACTCATAGAGAATGGAACTCCAACAATCTCAAAGTCAAATTCCCTGTCTCATGGTCTTATGATAAATTCTTCCACTATTATTTAAGATATTACAATGACACTGTGGTCTGTGGGTTGTTTGGTTCGAATTCTCTTCCAGGGGGTGATGTTTAATCATCTTAATATTGACTTAATGCTTTGCCTTAAAAATTTCAGAATTAATATCTAGAGCATAGTTGTATACACATGTACATATACAGTACATGTATATTAAATAACATATACACATTTACACATACATGCACATATACATATAAAGGCATACAAACATAGACATACATGCACGCATATATATATATATACACATATATATGCATAATATATAACATATGTTTATACATATATACATAGATACATATACATACTAAGTGAAGTATACACACACATATATATATATACATACACACACACATGTACACATACGGACATAACAAATTATACAAAATCAAACAAAGTAAAGCTCATACGAATAATTTTTCTTTTTGAAAAAACACAAAAGTTAAAAAACCCGTCAATGATCCGTCGATGATCACTGATGGATATCTATCGGTAATCCATATGTGCCCACGTGGAATTTCATTTAAAAAATAGAAAAATGAAACACTTAAATTCTGTTGGTAATCCGTTCGTGAATTGTAAAATTTTCGACATAAATTAAGAATTTTATTTTGCGAACTTCTTAAATGAAATTCCACATGGGTCGTGGAATTTTATTTAAAGAAAATCTTAAATTTTGTCTGAAATTTTACAACTCATCAATGGGTTACCGCGGAATTTGTTTTCGTTGGCAACATAAACGGTTGTGGGGTTTCCGTTGGTGACAGATCTTTGCCGTCGGTGATTTTCCTTGACAATATTATGTTTTCTTGTAGTGATTTGAACTAGATTTCGTTATTTACTTTTTTTTTATCTCTTTCTTTTAGTATCTTATGATCTTATATTTTTATTGTAAGATCATGACAAATGATTTCAAAAGAGATATTGTCGAAGACTAGTAATGTTATTGAATTTATATCTTTATGATCATGCTGAATTTATATCTTGATGATCTTAATTAACGATGTTATAACAAATAGCATGGATCTGATACAAGTAGGATACCACTTGTAGAAGAGGAAGTAGTTGTTTAGGTTTGTCATATAACTAAAACCCCTTCTATTCTATCAAAATTGCAATATTTGATCTAATTCTCACCACAAGGGGATTTGTATTCCTATTTGGATTTGAACCTGGACCTACTGGTACTTTTGACATTTGGAGCCAAGCTCAAACCAATCAGGTACCATCCTTGTGGTTTATGATTAGCCTTTTGGAAGGATGACGATGGACATATATCTGAACTTAGTTAAGAAAGATACCAAAAAAAGCTACGATCTGCATGGCATAATCTAGAAATGAAAACATTGCAATTCCCCATAAGATAGAGAAGGTACCTGCTTAGTTTTGTATACAACACAACACAACCATGGTGTACCAAGGCTAGGCTACTTAGCTTTGTGAGGGTTAAAGTTGTGCAGTCTTTTCATTTTGGTTTGCAAAGAGTGGTTTGAACCTCCATGACCAAGGCTTTCCCCCATTGAACAAAATATCCAAGAGAAGCTAAAATCTATAGCAATTTATTAACTTACCAATCAAAAGTACAACTGATGTGAACTGCAACTGAAGGGTCATAATATGGGATACATGAGTTTAACTGTATCAGGCATGCATTACGGTTACATTGTACTGAACTACAGCATCTCCAGTTTTTAGACTATACCTCACCGTACTTGCTAACGCATAGCCACGAGCGAACCTAAAGACCCCACTTCCACCAACAACCGGCATTTCCCTTACTTCATCAAGCACAGGGTTCCTCCCCATAACACTAAGTGTACTTCCGTTGTACTTGCCATAGGTAAATGCAAAATTGATAGCCATAAGTAAGGCCAAGTCATGCTGAGAAGCCAAAGCATAGAATCCTTGAGCTTTCCCCACCACTTTTGAACCCGGCTTGGTGTCCACGGTCAAAGGGTCATCTATCATTACAGTTGTGCCAAATGCAGTTTTAGGCCGGATTATAGCCATAGCAGTTGGGCTTTTGCCACTGGTGATGTCGTGGAAGTAGAAATGAAGTCGAGTCATTTTTCTGGCGGTTGGTGTCAGTTTTGTTTTGGCGAAATGCTCAGAGAAAGTCGCATTAGCAGTGACCAAGGCGGCAAAAATGAGAGCTAGGTAGAGGTTGAACAGACTGAAAGTTATGAAGGAAGCCATTGATGATCAATTTGAGATACTGCTTGTGTTACTGTTATATATATATAAGGTGGTATGTGGAGAGCCAGAGAGGCTATGGCTGCTATCTGTGGAAAGATTATAAGCGCAACAACGTTCTTTATGCTTTTCAAAGAAAATGTAGACAGGAAGTTAGCTAGCTTTGCGCTTTCTATATAGAATAGTAAAAAATCAATCATTAGCATGATTCCACTGTTAGAAATTGGTACCACTCAAGTGGGAACTGCATGATATGTGGAACTTGTGTGGAATAGAGACATTATACAAGGGTGTGGCTTCGCTTGTAAGGTTTGGCTTTGAGCTTGTGAGAAAGAGAATGATTCATGTAGCAGGAGTCATAATGGAATACCAGTAGTATATCTGCAAAGAAGGCGCCTTTGCTTCTGACACAAACTACACAGCTTTTCCTTTTCCTTTTGTTTAATTCATCATATAATACGCAAAATAGAAAATGATCCGTCTCTTTTTATTGATTCGAGTTGTGGGGCCAAGAGAACATTAAAAAGAGGACCCTAATAATTTCTTTTGACATGATATTATAAGTTTATGAGCTGGTGTTATTTCAATGTCGAGAAACAAAGAAAGACTTGCATTTCCAAGTTTTATGAGCAAACTAATTAGAGTCTTTGCAGTCAGAGTTGGAGTCTTTTGCAAACCGACTTAGGGGCCGTTTATCAAATGCTTACTTGAGTAAGTGCTTACCAAGTTATATTACCTTACCGGATGAATATGATAAGAACTAAAAATCTTACCTTGTAAGAACGAGGCAAGGACTGAGAGTCTTACCCGGTAAGTGAGGGCAATGACTCTTACCACGGTGAGCTCTTACCGGATAAACTGTTGCATAGAAAACTGTTTTTGTTGACTAAAGTCTTACCCGGTAAGTAAATAATAATAGTGAATTTTACCGATAAATGCTTACCGGGCAAGTGTTTGATAAACGGCCACTTAGACTCAATACTGTCCGAGTTTGGATAATAGTTGTAAAGGTTCTCTAATCTTATCCATTAACGGTTATAACTGCTCTTAATTAACCGTTCATAACTGTCGATCTCTCATATAAACATGTAAACGAATCTGGGTATATATAAGAACTCGACCTCACAGCTTCGAGAGTTTCTCTTGGCTTATCCCAATACGAAATTCGTGATACCCAAGGAGGCTATAAGAGACGAATTGTTGTATTTGGAAGGTCAATTTTCACGATCCAAAAAGATTATTCAGTCACCTATCAACTCTAAATCACCTATCAACCCTTGAAAGGGAAGTGACTAATTAACTGTACAATTATTATTTATTAGATGTTTTCTGATGGCGTGATTCATTATTATTTATTAGATGTTTTCAGATGAAGTGATTCTAAATGAACGCTACTTACCATTTATAAATGAACCCCCTCTACTTGGTAAATAGAACTCCTTACCATTTCCGTACTCATAAACGTCAACATCGACCTCCCTCTTTTACATTTCCAACACATGAATGACCTTGATCTGATCCAACACAAGCTGGGGTTCTTATCAATAACCTTCCAGATGTAGACAACCTCAATAGAAGTGATTTTTGTGGTTGTCAGGTAACTTTTTTCCGGAGGGGAGGGGGGGTTGAACCTTAACAGTAGTTTGGTGTTCGTATTTAAGACATATGTTCTCTGTTTGATCTGTCATCCCCTTAGTTGTAATCAAGTATGGCAGAGATCTGGGCTTGTGATATATTAATAAATCAGACTTGGGCTGATTTTTGGATCGTGAGAAACCCACGTTCCAAAAGTAATATTTCGACCCTACTAATGGACCTGTTCTAAACAAAAAATGAGAGAAAAACGTAGAGATTTCTTTTATGTTTCTATGTGTAATTGAAACAGAAAATCTATCTATTATGAGTACGCATTGATCGGCAGTTGTTTGACGATTACCAGGCACCCACTGATCAACACTGGTATGAGATCATTCACTAATCAGCTTCTGAGAGAGCATTCATTGGTAAATGTCCATGGCCAGCACATAAGCGCTCAATGTAAGCACGAAAGCTGAAGGCATTGAAGATAAATATTCAGCTTTAGTGTCAGCGTCTGATGCATACCGCTTCAGACCGGAGCGCTGGCCCATGATCCCCTTGATCCTATTCCTGTCCGCCAGTTGGCTTGCGATATCGCTGCAAGCGTTGATGCCACTTGGCCCTGGAACAAAAGTACACCAAATATCTTGGATGATTGAATTCCCATCTTATTATATTACACATCTTATTTACCGTAAGATAATATACATACAAGTTTCTATAATACCCAAGTGTTTATACTTGACACTCAGGTCAGTGCTTCAGCATGTTCCATTATGTTAAATTGAACAGAAAATCCCTTTATGTTTTTCCCTTGTGAGAATTACAGCCCCATCCCAAATCCAATTTTGTTAGCCGGCAACTCCAAGCAATGCCTAGTGCGCGCTCTCTGATGGTCGATTTTATTCCATCCGTTTGTTTTCCTGATGGCAGTATGACTCTTCGAAATCCCTGCAATTTCTTTTGGTTGATCATCATACACTCCCTACAATTTCTTTTTATTAAACCACCACCCTTTTCCTGCAATTTCGTTCTTGTTCTATGACGACGACCACCAAAATCACCATGCATGGCTCTTACCATCAGCACCACTACTGGTTCTTGTGAAAATATTTTAGTTCTGTAAACTACAATGAACATGAAATCGAAGAAGAAACAAACCAATTGATAACTCCAGTCATATTCGTCATTATCACCTTATGTTTCTTCTCAAGCTAAGTTCATATGAAACCACACTTGGCACTGTGAGAAACGAAATCAACCTTTGTATATTGATGCTAGTCACCATCATCACCTGTATATTTGGCAAGTCTACATACCACAAATTTTGCTCTTTCAAAGATGTTGTATAATCCTACCAAGGTAAGCTCTGAACCTCCATTCCATTCGTGATTATATGGTTGTTTTCATTTTGTTGAGAAGGTTCTCCTTGAATTAAACTCTTCTTCAATAAATTTGATTTTATTTGAAATCTTATGATTTTACATGTCTCCCCTTTTTTGAATCTTTGATGACTACAATTTAAAGTTTTGCTGCAAAAGATTGTTACTCAACTCATGGTCCGACTATATGAAGTGTTACAAGATCTTGAAGAAAAAAAATTGACTAATTACAATAGTAATTGCTATACCATCATACCAACAAGATCAAAAACTAAAATAGAGCTATACAGGATAGTCAGAAGTGGAGAAATTGCTTGCCTTCTCATTCCATTCTCCTAAGAATATATATATATATATATACAAATATCCTTATCTAAGGAAAATATTTAGGAGATATCTCTTATTGAGATATTCCATATTTACAGGAAACTAAAGGAGAGATAAATCTTATACTAAAATTAAGATATCTCTTATTGAAATATATTGGTTAGCACTCCCCCGCAGTTCGAGCGTAGCCAGGATGAACGCTCAAACTGGATCTGAAGTCAAGGAACAACTGGCGAGGCAAACCTTTGGTGAAGATGTCCGCATACTGATAAGAAGAAGGAACATGAAATACACGAACTTGACCCATCGCCACTTTTTCGCGTACAAAATGTATGTCGAGCTCGATGTGTTTGGTGCGTTGGTGTTGAACCGGATTGCCAGATAAGTACACGGCAGAGACATTGTCACAGTATACAAGGGTAGCTTTTCGTGTAGGACATCCGAGTTCAAAAAGTAAGTTGCGTAACCAACATGTTTCCGCGACAACATTTGCCACTCCGCGATACTCCGCTTCATCACTTGATCGTGAAATCGTGGGTTGGCGTTTGCCGACCAAGAAATGAGGTTGTCACCTAAGAATACGCAATACCCAGATATGGATCGGCATGTGTCGGGGCATCCCGCCCAGTCTACGTCTGTATATGACATGAGGCTATTGTCAGTACTAGGATAAAGATGTAGGCCATAGTCAAGGGTGCCTTTGATGTACCGGATGATACGTTTAAGGGCACTAAAGTGGGTTTTGCGTGGCGCATGCATGAAGAGGCAGATCTGCTGAACAGCGTAGGCGATGTCGGGTCGCGTGAAGGTGAGGTACTGCAGAGCACCTGCTAGGCTGTGATAAAGAGTCGGGTCATCAACTGGGTTTCCGGTATGTGCACTCAATTTGGACTGTGAGTCGACCGGTGTGGGCATAGGCTTGCAATTCGTCATTTTGGCCCGACTAATGATATTTTCAGCATACTGTTTCTGAGATAAGAACATGTGGTGAGAGGCACGGGTGACAGAAATACCCAAAAAGTAGCTTAACTTACCCAAATCGGTCATCTCGAATTCGGTGTTGAGAGCCAAAATTATGTCTGATTTCAACTTTTCGGAGGACGCGGTTAGGACAATGTCATCAACATATAGCAACAGATAAGCGATGTTGGAACCGTGACGACAAATAAACAAGGAGTTGTCGCTTTTGCTGCACCGAAAACCAATCTGTAAGATGTAGTTGGCAAACCGTTGGTACCATGCTCGAGGGGCTTGCTTAAGGCCGTACAGAGACTTACGAAGGCGACATACATAGCCGGGGGCGGAAAAATTATAAAACCCAGGTGGTTGATGCATGTAGACCGTTTCTTTGAGGTCTCCATGCAAAAACACGTTTTTCACATCGAGTTGATGAATGGGCCAATTACGATCCATTGCAATGCTTAGAACTGTTCGTATCGTGGCCGGTTTTACAACCGGGCTAAATGTCTCGTCATAATCGATTCCAACCTGTTGGGAGTTTCCATTGACCACGAGTCGGGCCTTATACCGTTCTAGATCATCATTGTCTTGATATTTATGGCGAAACAACCACATACAACGGATTATATTCACCCCTTCCGGTCGTGGAACGAGATCCCAAGTGTGTTGTTTAATAAGAGCATTGTGTTCTGCAGTCATGGCTGCATTCCAATTCGGGTCACGCATTGCCACCTTGGGATTTGTAGGTAAAGGGGATATTTCCTGGTTCGAGAGATTAAAGTGTGTTTTTGGCTTGAAAATGCCATGGCGGGAGCGTGTTTGCATGGGGTG